AGTTGAACCCAAAGTTCAAGATTGGCGTTTCCCTATTATTGATTATGTCCTACACGGTATCTTACCTGAAGACGTGAAAGAAAGGGATTCGATTCGGCGGAGAGCACCGAGATTTTACTACAACGCTGAATCACAAATGTTGTACCGACGGTCGTACGACGGTCTATTACTCCGTTGTCTATCTAATAAGGAAGCAGAACAAGCACTCAAAGAGGCGCATGATGGGACATATGGTGCACATCAATCCGGTCCTAAACTCTGTGACCGACTTAGGAGAATTGGATATTATTGGCCAACTATGGTAAAGGATGCAGTTGACTACGCCCGACGATGTCAAGTATGTCAATTACATATAAATTATATGCACCAGCCTCCAGAGCATCTACACCCGTCAGCAACGTCATGGCCGTTTGAGACTTGGGGAATGGATATTGTTGGTTCTATAAATCCCCCGTTAGTCAAAGGTGATCGGTTCATCCTAGCAATTACCGACTACTTCTCCAAATGGGCTGAAGCGATTCCGCTCAGAGAAGTTAAAACGAGTAACGTCATTGCATTCATCAAACACCATATCATCTACTGGCATGGTATCCCAAGACGAATCATACATGACAACGGTCCTCAATTCGTCAGCAACGCCTTCATCAGGTTTTGCGAGAAGTTCAAAATTCAGGACATTTCGTCGACGGCTTACAATCCTTCAGCAAATGGATTAGCTGAAGCCTTCAATAAAACAATCATAAAGCTCTTGTCAAAACTCGTGAAAACTAATAAACGAGATTGGGATGACAAGCTTGACGCGGCTCTATAGGCCTATCGTACCACGGTACGTACACCGACGGGAGCGACCCCATATTTGCTAGTATACGGATGTGAAGCCATTCTTCCATTAGAGATACAAATTCCATCTCTTCGGATTGTTCTCGCAACACAGATGACAACCGAAGAACAACATCAGAAACGTCTCGAAGAACTCGAGATGCTCGACGAAAAACGCTTAGAAGCTCAACAGCATATTGAGTTCTACCAAGCCAGAATCTCCCGACCTTTCGACAAAAAGGTTCGACAACGGAGTTTTAAAGAAGGAGATTTAGTCCTAGCTGAAAGACGGCCTAGCCTATGATCCTTAACTCCAAGAAGAAAGGAAAATTTGAACCCAAATGGGAAGGACCGTTTGTAATAGAAACAGTCTATTCAAACGGTGCTTATCGCCTGATTACCCAGGATGGCAACAAATTAATGATGCCAATAAATGGGAAGTTCCTGAAAAAATATTATCTGTAATATGTTCAGGATAACCTATGTAAAACGGGAAGTTCCTAGAGAATCCTGTATAAGGATATTTCGGGATAACCCGAGATCAGTCGATTGTTCTAAATGAGAAACTGATCATTCGAATATTCCATTTTTTGTTATTACCATAAAGTGCTTTTATGGCTTTTAGTGAGATGAGATCTAGATCTATAAACAGTTAATCTTTCCTCACAAAACCCCTCATCGATCAAATCGATCGACGAAGGGTTTATCAAAATCAGTCACGGATTAAAATCCTCCAAACTTCCATTGTATCTGTTTTCTAGCATTCATAATGTTGAAATTATGATACGATGTCAAATTCGGATTATCGGCCCGTATTAGTCGCCGAATCATTTCGTGTCAAATTCTTGTGTTTGACGTCAAAACTCCTACCTGGTCAAACCTTACTACAGTTAGGACCACAACCAAAATCCCCTCTCGATTCCTTCAATGAACAAGAGGTCCACAAATCAAACGATCAAACCTTCCTACAGTTAGGATCGTCTCAAAACTCTCACCTGGTCAAACCTTACTACAGTTAGGACCACAACCAAAATCCCCTCTCGATTCCTTCAATGAACGAGAGGTCCACAAATCAAACGATCAAACCTTCCTACAGTTAGGATCGTCTCAAAACTCTCACCTGGTCAAACCTTACTACAGTTAGGACCACAACCAAAATCCCCTCTCGATTCCTTCAATGAACGAGAGGTCCACAAATCAAACGATCAAACCTTTCTACAGTTAGGATCGTCTCAAAACTCTCACCTGGTCAAACCTTACTATAGTTAGGACCACAACCAAAATCCCCTCTCGATTCCTTCAATGAACGAGAGGTCCACAAATCAAACGATCAAACCTTCCTACAGTTAGGATCGTCTTAAAACTCTCACCTGGTCAAACCTTACTACAGTTAGGACCACAACCAAAATCCCCTCTCGATTCCTTCAATGAACGAGAGGTCCACAAATCAAACGATCAAACCTTCCTACAGTTAGGATCGTCTCAAAACTCTCACTTGGTCAAACCTTACTACAGTTAGGACCACAACCAAAATCTCCTTTTGATTCATTTTGTGAACGAAAGATCCACTTTTGAATTAAATAATCAAACCTTATGACAGTTAGGATTATTCAAACCAATCCAGATTCTCTAAGTGGAGATCCCACTTTGAGTTTCCTTTGCACCAGAAGATAGAATATAAAATTCTTCTTCTCCAATTTTGGGTCTATCTTTACCAACAAACAAGAGACCAGGAGATAGAATATAAAATTCTTCCTCTTTAATTTTGGGTTTATCTCTACCAACAAACAAGAGACCAAGAGATAGAATATAAAATTCTCCCTCTCTAACTTTGGGCTCATTTTCCTGTATGGGAAATGTAATTTATTTACATTCCAAAATCCATGTCATTCACACATGGGAGATGTTATCTCTATCCCTTATTAGAGATAAGCCTACATCTAACACATGTAGCCTACATATTCAATATTGTAGTTTAAAGTCTAAAAGAGTTTAATTCTTTTAGCTCAACGTTATATGTGAAACGGATTTAGATAATTCACATACTAGCCCGATTCAAACGATAATCGGTAAAGGCATATCAAATCGTTGATGGCTGAGAATTTACCAAAAATTCTATGAGTATTATGGTTATTTATTCTAAACAAGAATGAGTAATCATAATTAAAATCTCAATGCACTGCTGGAAACATGACTTTTAGCGACGGACAAATCCGTCGCTAAAAGTAGAAAAGCCATCGCTAAAACATTTAGAGACGAAAAAAATAAAATTTCGTCGCCAAAAGACCATCAGTACAGTGGGGGTAGCTAAAATCAATTTTAGCGACGGATATTCCGTCGCTAATTTGTAGCGACGGAAAATTAGCGACGGATAATCCGTCGCATTACTTTATTTTAAAAAATAAAAAAACATTAGCGACGGATATTCCGTAGCTATAACTCATTTTAGCTACGGAAAATCCGTCGCTAAAACTTATTAGCGACGGAAAAACCGTCGCTATAAGTATTTTTTAAAAAAATAAAATAATTAATTAAACGAATATTCCGTCGCTATTAACATTAGTGACGGAAAATCCGTCGGTAATATTTGTCCCCCGTATCTGTTTTCCGTCACTAAAAGATCATTTAGCGATGGCTAATCCGTCGCTAAATATTTCCAATATTTTTTTAAAAATAATTTGAAAATTGAAAAAACTTGTACAATAATATAATAAATTTAAAACCCTATTCAATCAGCAGTATAATATTCATTCTCACGCATATATAACACATATAATTTAATTAAAATATCCCAACATAATAAACGTTGTTTATACAGTACACACCATGATAAATATTATTTATACAACACTCATTCATTGTTTTCAAAGGTAAAAAAAGAAATCAGTCTTCTAGATCATCATCATCATCCTCCTCATCACCAGCTCCACCTTGTCTAGAAGTCCCGGCCTGTAAATATCAATCAAACGTTAACAACATGGCATGACATTCAAGTATAGCAATAAAAGAGTATCATGGCATATTCTTATGTATTATACGCACACACATACAATTTTTACAACAACGCATGTACACACCCTAACAACACATGCACGCATAATTTTTACAACAATACGCGTACACGCACAATTTCTCACCATACGCGCATGTACGCTACATGCTTATACGCGTACATGCACATACGTGTATACGCATGCACGTACACGTGTGCACGCATGTACGCACGCATACACGTGTGCATGCACGCGTGCACGCATGCACGTATGCACGCACGCATGCACGCACGCGTACACGCATGCACGCACGCGTACACGCATGCACGCATGCACCACACTCCACCCACCATCAACACCCAATCCCACTCCTCCCCCTCCCCACCACGACCAAACCCCCCACAAACCAATCACATAACGACCACCACAACACAACACCACAACGTTACCAACCAATCAACCCACCAGCCAATACCATCACCACTACGCACACACGCACCATCAACACCACAATCACATAAAAATATTATACGTATATATTTTGGGCTTTGTGTTAGGGTTAGAGTTAGGGTTTGTATGTAAAAATGTGTATCGATGTGTGTGATATCATTTAGTCACATGGTATATTCATAACTAAGTAAGAATTAAATATATTTAATTCATTTAATTTAAAAAGTAAAATATATAAATTACCTGATCCGCCATAAATCGTCTCCTATATGCCTCATGAGCCTCCTGAGACTGAGTCGACATGAACTGTGTGAACTCTAATGCTTGCTGCTCCCGGCGTCTCCGTTCTTCCTCCGCAATCCGCTGATATGTTGTTTGCTGTGACTACCAATCTTCAATCGCTTTCATCCGCTGCTCCATCGATTCTTGAAATGAACTGCTTCCTAGTGTTCCTGGTGGTGCTGCAGACTCGTAGGTGCTACTAGACTCGTGTGGCCTCTGCTCGGATCCTCTCCACCGGTATCTGTTCTTCCTACTTGGTCCAATGACCGTCTCGATGATGGAGTCCTCCTCCTCTCTACTTAGTCGGGCTGGAGTGCTAGAACCGACATGAGACTGAGATATTTGCTCTTGTACCTTGGCATGTAATTTCTCCTGCGATATATCAAAATAACCCGGGCAAGTCAACTTTTTAATGATGCATTATTATAAAATTGAATATACAAATGAAGCCAGATCCTTGTTCTTCGCCTTCTTCTCTTCATCGGCGTAATTCGGGCTCCAAGAAGTCAAAATACGATCTGCAAAATGTCCGAGATCTCCCCTTCCCTATTTTATTCAAATATATTATTAACCCATAACACATAAAGTATACTCAAATTGACAATTTATAAGCTAATATATTATATACCTCATGCTCCAATTGATGATAATGCTGGCTAAAGGACCTGGAGCCCCCGTGGTGCTCGTAACTACGGGGAGCGTTGCGGTTCCTCCTTGCTATTTCAGCTTGAGCCTAGAAAATAATGTCAAATCAGGAAAATATAGAAATTCAGCATATAAAATGAAAAAAATGTACGACAATAATACCTGGATTTCAGCCGTGTCCCAGTAATCACAAAGTGCAAAAAATTCTACTCCATCTACACGCTCGTCAAGATGCCAGAAGCGCTCCCAATCATTTGTTATTTGAACAAAATACTTTTTCTTCACCTCAGATCGCCACCTCTTAAACGATAGATTGATTTGCATGAAGCAGTAAGTCTAGGCACAAATGTTATCGTCAAGGAAGAAAAATCACTTCAGCATATAAAAAAAAGAGATACAAATCAGTGTATTAAACATAATAATAATCTAATAACTCCAAATGATGAAAATTCAAATAAATAACTCACACATATATATCTCCAACAAGCTACCAGCGCATCAATTCGTTGTGATTTCCACGTCAAAAAAATATTAAAGAAATCATGTCTCTTGGCTAAAGCGGTGAGAAAATTATTGAAAGCATTAGCAAATGCCCCGACAGGCACTCCGTGCTCCCATCGGATCACGGCCCTCAGATGAATATCAGGGATGAGGTTCTATGGCTTGGTAGCACTGCGACCGTGCTTAGGAGGTCGCTCGGTACCTGCGAAACAATAAAAATCGGGTGGCATATAAATCAATCCATATCAATGATAAAAAGTAAAATAATAACCGATAAAGTATAAAAATCTATTCACACCTTTCAGTTCGATGCATCTACGCCTTGCTTGTTTGTACCTACGCTGCGCTATAGGTCACAAAGCATGATAAGATTCCCAATCACCTTTCACCTTGGCTGGGTCGTGGACTCGCTGATCTAGAATAGAATCTGGTGGTAGTGGTGTAGCTTCTATAGCTGCACTATTTGGCTCATATCTCCGCTCCTCCAATACATCTGCACGTAGCGGCGGCGGCGATGGTATCTCAGCATGCTGTGTAGGATCAGCATGTGCCTCTGCATCATGTGAAGCATCTCCGCTGCCTGTGTCCTGTGGCGGCGAGTCATGTGTAGCATCTCTGCGTTCTGTGTAGAAAATGTTAAAAAATAATGTTAGGCTCACATTAATAGTTTATAGAAATGTACAGATATAACATATAAATAAAAATACCTGACGTAGAGGCATGTGCGTCGCCTCTAGAATGTCCACCAAAAAGTCTCTCAAGTTCTTTCTTACGTAGTCCTTTTGTCATCTATACTTTGAAAATATAATGAGCATCCAACAAATGCATATAATGCAAATAATTAATAAATAACACATGGTAACCAGTCAAACGGATAATGTAAAGGCAATACTATAGTACATGACACAAACTGGCATATGATAACCAGTCAAACAGATAATATAAAGGTAATACTATATTACATGATACAAACTGATACATGATAACCAGTCAAACAGATAATATAAAAGCAATACTATAATACATGACACAAATTGATACATTATTATGATGATGTTGAGGCTCTACTCTGTGACCGTGTGCGGTTAGCCTGAGACCATGTACGTGCCGACAAAAGGACTGTTCTTATAGTTTTATGGACTCCGCAGTGAACTGGTTTTTTACCTTTACGCCTTGGCTCACATATAATCGCAGGTACATCAGGGCGTGCTAGTGTAATTTCATCCATCAGATTATTATTTTGTGTCAAGGAAAACTCAGTAACTGTTTCGTCGGCCAAGATAACCTCCTCATCGTAATCTTCGTCAGACACAGCTTCATGAATGTAGGCTCTAGGCGGATTCTTAAGGACAACCCATTCGTCATTTTTCATTATATCTTTGACATAAAAGCACTGTTTGGCGTGAGCAGCTAACATATACTTTTCATTCTGATATATTTCCTTGTTAAGATTAACGAGTGTGTAACTGTAGTCATCCTTCGTCTTTTTCAGCTCACACCAACGAACCTTAAACATCACATGTCTGACTTCCTTATTAATCCCATAGAAAATCTCCACGATGTCTTCTACCTGACCGTAGCAATAGAATTTACCTTGTATCGGATTTAGATCTTTTGAACTAGCGTATGACAGTTGCGAAAATGAGCAAAACACACCGCTGTTTTGCGTTTGCCGTCTCTCTTCGAAACCGATGGTGTTAAACCTAAAGCCATTGATGCAGTAGCCTCCATAATGCTTAACCATGTTAGAAGGACCTCTGGCATATAAACATATTTTCTCAGACAGGTTAACCCCATTCGTAATCCGTTGGTCAACCTTTAAGAAATAAAACAAATAGTTTAAATATCTGGTGGTAGGCACGTATATTTGATATACTAATCAGATATGTAAAGAATATCTTACTTCACCCTTCAGCCATGCAGGGAATTGTCAAGAGTGTGTGTCCATAACTCTTTTATTTTTTGTTCTGCATTTAAGAGTAGTCTGGACATATCGGATGTGAAGCCTAGAATAAAATCATTTATAACGGTTAAATAGAGATAATTATTGTGATTGAATGTGATCTAATTCAAACGGCTAAATACTTACGCCGCGTATATGTTAAATGTAGTATCATTGCTCAGGATATATGTGTGGGCTTGATCTAGCTCCATTCTGGGGAATCTAGTATCCTCTCCACGATCATTATAGAATGTTCCGTCAATTATTCGTTGGGGAGGGACGGTTCAGCCTTGTCTCTACGCCCCGCAAGTAACGAGAGATAAAATTCAAACTCTCGTTACTTATGTAGTTCTCTGCGATCGACCCTTCTGGACGTGCACGGTTATGCATCAATTGTTTCATGAAACCCAAATACCTACAAGCATATAGTTTCATGATTTGTGATAAAATAAAACCGAGCAACGGAATTTGATAAATATTAATTGAACATTATAATAATAAATACCTCTCCACAGGGTACATCCAGCGATATTGAACTGGTCCTGCGATACGGGCTTCATATGCTAAATGTATTGTGAGATGCACCATGACCGTAAAGAACGAGGGTGGAAATAGAATTTCTATTTTACACAGTGTATTAGCTATACGTCCCTCTAATTCTTCAAACTCCCTGACATCAATCACCTTGGAGCACAACTGCTTAAAGAAACCGTAGAATTCTATTACCACCTTCACGAGTTCCTTCTCAGCATGTCGCAACGCAACCGGGAGAAGTTGATGTAATAGAATATGATGGTCATGTGTCTTGAGTCCCCAGATTTTTCTATCCTCAATATGCACATTTGCTAAAATGTTTGAAGCATATCATCCGGTGTCTTCACAGACTTTAGAAATAAACACATATTATGGACCTCATCCTTCGATAGTATGACACGGGAGGCTGGGAGTTCAAACTTTTTGTCTCCCTTATCTATAGCTTGCAGTTCAGGACGAATGTTCAATTCTGCTAGGTCTCGTTGTGCCCTTAAGTCATCTTTCAATTTTTTTCCCATCCTGCAACAAAGTGTTCAAGAGATTCTCGCATATGTTCTTCTCGATGTGCATGACAGTCCTGCAACAAAGTGTTCAAGAGATTCTCGCATATGTTCTTCTCGATGTGCATGACATCTAAGTTGTGACGTATTTTTAAACTTCTCCAATATGGTCGCATATGTTCTTCTCGATGTGCATGACATCTAAGTTGTGACGTATTTTTAAACTTCTCCAATATGGCAACTGATAAAATATACTGAATTTTGACCATCCATGCTGAAGTTCAGTGCCCTTAGAGACACGCCCATGCGACTTGGCTCTGCGAGGCTTATTTCCTTTCGAATTGCCTTTGAGAAGTCGCTTACCCTTTCCATTTCCCTTCCAATTTTGCTTCAATATTTTTCTCCTAACCCCAAATGGATTTTCTTTGTTGAATCTTTTCTTTCCAAATATTTTTCTAGGTAGTGGATGTAGAAGCTCAAATATTTCTTCCCCGGTCATCCTTGGTGGTGCCGGTCTGTTTTCTAGATTGCTGTCAAACTTTCCTATTAACTTTCTAAACTTGTGCCCTGTAGGCAACCATCTTCTGTATTCCCAATAACAAAACTTACGGCTGTATTTTAGAAACTTTCCCTCATAGTCTGACATGCAAACCGGGCAAGCAATCTGACCCTTTGTCGACCATCCAGACAGGTTAGCATATGCCGGAAAGTCATTAATTGTCCACATGACCATTGCCCGCATATAGAAAGACTCCTTACCATAAGCGTCATAAGTGCTGACACCTTCTTCCCAGAGAAGCTTCAGGTCGTCAATTAATGGTTGGAGGAAAACGTCGATGTCATTTCCAGGAGAATATCTTCCAGGGATCAAGAGTGATAGTATCATGTACGGCTGCTTCATGCACATCGACGGCGGTAGGTTGTACAGTGTTAGCAACACTAGCCAGGTAGACCAAGCGGAGCTCATTAATCCAAATGGATTAAATCCATCACTAGCAAGCCCCAACCTAATATTCCGAGACTCCTTACCAAAGTCGGGGTATATACGATTGATGTGCTTCCATGCTTCACCATCAGCAGGATGTCTCAGTTTTTCGTCCTCTTTTCGGTTGGTCGAATACCATCGCATATTCTCAGCCAGCTCGGCAGACATAAAAAACCTCTGTAGCCTAGGAATAATTGGAAAATATCAAAGAACCTTCACAGGGATTCTGCTCTGCTTATTGGATGAACCGCCTTCGGATGTGCCCGTATGTTCTTTCCAGCGTGATACATGACACGTCGGACATTCCTCAAGAGCTTCATTACCTTTATTATATAGGATGCAGTCATTAGGACATGTGTCTATCTTCTTGTAATCAAGCCCCAGCGTATCAACAATCTTGTGAGCTTCGTAAGAGGTTGCAGGGATTCTCTTCTCGCTGCCTGGGATGACTTTCCTGAGCAAATCTAATAACATCTCAAAATGTGTAACAGCCATCCCACTGAGTGTTTGGATATGAAGAAGCCGCAGCATAAAAGAAAGCCTTGTGAACTCCTTGCAACCCTCGTATAACGGTGACTCGTTTTCTTCAACAAGTCTCATCAATCGATCTACATCTTGAAACATATCATTAGTGTTGACATCGCTCACCGATGGCGCTGCAAGAATATCTTCTAACATATCAGTCGTGTCAACTGTCGGATTGCTGACTTCAGTGAATTCTTCCTCTGATTGCATCACCGGGACGCCTTCACCGTGATGACTCCAAAATACATAAGAGCTATCAAATCCATTGATTGACAGATGGAAACTTACGTCACTCCTAGTGAGCATTTTACCATTCCTACAATTCTAGCAAGAACAGAAAATCAACCCGCTCAGCGACCGTAAAGGGTTGGTGTCAGAGTAGGCTAAGAAGGCTTCTATTCCATCCTTGTATCGGGTGTCTAGATGCCTCCGATCACGTGGTATGCTCATGAACGATTTTTCAGGAACTGTCCGCATCTAGAATTTAAAAATTAATGGAAGTGAGCATATCCCTATATATATCATTTTAATTTAGAACAAATGTGTGTGACCGACTGTCGAAGGAAGGCTTCTATCCCATTAGGTATGTAAACGTGACGTGTATATGTATTTATGTGTGTTCAAGTGTACTATCATTTCGTCAAAATTTGTAAGGAGAGAACCCAAATTACTATAGAAGAGGGTCTTCAATAAGGTTAAGAATGTTGCACGCAGCGAAAATTTCGACAGCACCTCGGCAGCACAACAAGAGAGTCAAGTCGTAATAGGAATTCCTGTTTCACAAAGGAAACAAGAACCTTAAGCAAAATATCTCAACAAAGTGGGATATCAGCTCTTCCTCTCATCAGTTCTAGGACTGGCCTGTCGAGGGAACCTAAATAAGCTATTACAAATCACAAAATAGCGAGACAAACTAATTGCTGAGGGGGTATAACTATATTTGTAAGGAGAGAACCCAAATTGCTAATCTTTTTTTTTGTCTTTGTCTTTGACTTATTTTTACTGTGTGTGTGAAAGTAAAGTGGTGATCACTATACATGTAGAAAAATAAATGACCAAAGCAAAGATACAGTTACCTATAATGCTTACTATTAGTAGCATCATCACCTCTCATGTTCTAGTTGGCAGAGGCAAAACTAAGTTGGATGCATGTGCACACATAGGACTCCTTCCCTAAATTGAGACTGCACTTGTTTTTGATTAATTGCAGGCAAAGAGGCATTCACTTAATTGCTGATTAAAAAACTATATGCATTAATTGATGTCCCATTATTCTCTAGTTGTTTTATTAAAGCATGCACTT